TTTTTCACCTTCCCCTAGCTCCATTTTAACCAGTGGGTCTGCTAGGGAACGACTCACCGGTCCCCTTCAGTCACTGCTCTGATGTGCAACAGCAGTGTTTGCAAGCCTTTCTCCTAGCTGGGGGCAGTCTCGTCTCCAATGGCCTAACTGAAAGCAATTGGAACATTGATCTGGTCCTACCCTGATGGGTTGGGGTCTGAATCCTCCCCTCCCTCTCATAGGGTAACCACGACCCCTACCCCTAACACTTGTGTCTGGGAATTTTGTGTTTTGGGCTGCTACTGCTACTGCTACGATCTGAGCAACTCTTTTATCTTCTCTCTGTTTCTCTTCTTTTTCTCTGTTGTTGTAACTTTCCAAACTTCATTCATTACTATCTCTAAATTTTCATCTGCAGGATGCTGGACCTTTGCAGCTTCTTTCTAATATCTAGGTTACTCTGTCCCATCAATAACGCTAGTAATTGTCGTTTGCCTGCTTTTGGCGCAGGATCTAAGGATGTATATTTTCTCATAGCAGCTCTAAGTCTGTCTAAGAATTCCGAAGGCATCTCATCTCGCCCTTGTTCAACATTATAAAGAGCTGCCCAGTTAATTATTTTTGCTTTCTCTCTCTCCTCGTCTTTGGTTTTCCGTTCAGCAGTCCTAGTACAATATGAATAGCCAACTTCTTCCTCCTGATCATTCTCTAAACTTTCGGTATCTATTCTATCTTTATGCTTTCTGTCTTCTTTTCCTTCATCTCTTCCTGGTTTCTGAGGGTTACTTTCTTTTCTATTTCTTTCTGATTCTGGCAAACTACTTTCTTTTTCGTTCCTTTCTGACTTCTGCGAGGTGCTTTCTTTCTCTTCCCTTCCTGATTCCAGCAGGCTGCTTTCTTTACCTTGCTGGCCTCTCATTATTGTTATAGAGGCCTAATTATGCACTTATCTGGGATTTCTCAATCTGTCCCACTGCGTCATACACAAAATATCTATCTATAATGTACTAGTTACTGCTGACAAATGTTAATCTTTCAAGGATAGATTCTCCCTGGACCTTTCAATTATTTGAGCATCAGTAATATACCAGCTGATCCAGGAGTCGTGTTCCTGAACTAGTTTCTAGTTGTAAATATTCTAAATCACTAGGGGTTGTACTCTAGTTCGTCTCTTCTCTAAATTGATTGTTCGATAAGTTCTTTTACATCATTACAGCAAGCTTACACTTTTCTTAATTTATTTCACTGTCTCAAGGTATTTCTTACTTTGTCCTAACACTTCATGTACGCAATCTCCAGCCGCTTCGTCCGTTTCTGGCCTGGCTCCTCGCGGAGAACAGGAACCGCAGAGCAGGACTCCTCAATCGCCCCGCAGCAGAGCCGCGTCTCAATCACACTCGCACACACACTTGCACACTTGATATAGGAGAACTTTCCTACCTTCTGGTTTCTATCTGAGCAGTCTGCGTTACCAAGCAAGGTTGCGAAACGGTGCTGCAGACCGTGAGATATGGCTTTGCTGTCGGCTGTCCGATCTATGTTACCACAAACTCACAGGGTGTTGCTGCAAACTATAAAACACACTTCTTACAGAAAATGCAACCAAGATGTTAAAAATACCTGTCTATGAGTGTGGCAGCAATAAAATCTCACCCACTTAGTTTCTGCCAAATCTTGATTTGACCAACAGCGTATACAGTGGAAGGTAAGGGTACG